AGGAAGGGTATAAATACAATAAATAAAATAAATAAATAAATATAGATAGATAGGTAGGTAGGTAGGTAGGTAGGTAGGATAGATAGATAGATGATAGATGGCAGACAGACAGATTGAAAAGAGTCTTAGACAGACAGATATGTACACAACTGATGGACTGGCTGGCTGGTCATCTGTTGGGCACGTAGGGGCAGAAATGAATTCTTCGAGGGACCGACGGACTTGTTAGGGAATCCCCTGCTCACCCAGTTGGAAAGAGAAGGTCCCCCACCCCTTTGACCAGACACTGACCAGGGTGAGGCTGGTCAATTGCACCAGGAGAGAAGGGAAGGGAAGGCAGGCGGGTGAAAAATCCTGGGCTGGGGAGGAGGAGGAGGAAGAGGAGGAGGAGGAAGGGGGGGTTACGCTGTCCCTCTGCCTGTAGGTGTGGATGGGCATCTATATAGCCAGCTTGAGAAGTGCGTGTGTGTGTGTGTGTGTGTGTGCGTGTGCGTGCGTGCGTGTGCGTGTGCGTGTGTGTGTCCTATGTGGATGGGCATCTATATAACGAGTTTGAGATGTGTCTGGGTGTGTCTCTCTCTCTCTCTCTGTGTGTGTGTGTGTGTGTCTTATGTGGATAGGCATCTATAGTCAGCTTGAGAACTCTCTGTGTGTGTGTGTGTGTGTGTGTGTGTGTGTGTGTGTGTGTGTGTGTCTTATGTGGATAGGCATCTATAGTCAGCTTGAGAAATCTCTGTGTGTGTGTGTTTGTGTGTGTGTAACTGGCACGCCGCCCCCCCAGCTCCGGAGTGTGATGAAAGGAAAGAGAAGAGGATGGATGGGCATCGGAAGGACATCCATTCTGTCGTGGTCCTGCTAGTTCCTGTTATTCAGAGTGACCAAAGGGAAAAAAAGGGGGGACCTGTTCCTTTAACAGTGGTGGGGCAGGGGGGACATTTCAGCAAGGGTAGATGGGGCTGGAAAGCTTTCCCCGGAGCAGTTTCCTTTCCCAAGCAATGGCTGGAGCTGCAGGTGTTGCTCCCTTGTGTTTTTTTCCACCTGGTTGCCCCATCATCTTCACTCATTCCACAGGGAAACACCTGAAATACCAAATATGCACATGCTGGATGTCCATAGTAGTGCATTCAATTCTTAAGTCGTTGCCAAATGTAATAATCGCGCTGGGATCGACTGTTACTGCATTTTCCTTCATCCACGACCAACTTTTCAGAACAAAGTCCGCAGGTGAAGTCTCCCATTCTTGACCACCTGCTGTGGTTCCTCTTTTGTTTTTCCTTTAATCCTGTTTCTGTTTAGGGAACCCAGCCCCAAAAGAACTGGACACCAAACAGGAGTCATAAATCATTATGAGGCGTGAAATGCAACCACTTGGTTTTAGTGAATGTTTTGCCAGCAGTCCCTGTAAGCGAACACTCTTCTATTTCTATTTACGTTTTCATCGAAATCCTAGCTGTGGTTGAATGGCCCAAGGGGTTCAACCAATCATAAGGACACATACAGAGTGGACACAAGAGTCTATTTCTTCAGTTTCAGTTACATGCTAAATGTATGAGTTGTATAGTACCAATGGCTTTGCAAAGAGGGATGCAGCTGGGAATAAATCTAGAATTAGTTACTGCTGCTAATAGTGACTTCAGGTTCTCTTCTATTGCAAACCCTCCCCTTGTAAATACCAGCCTGCACCTCTGAGGATCACCATGCAGAGTTTAACCCCGATTCATTGTACACTTTAGTGC